CATATTCAATTTAATACATTTTTATGTTGATTATAATCGCATGGCATGATGTTTTTTATTAATAACTAAATGGTAATAGCAATGTCACATGGGTAAAATTTTTAATAGTTGCAAGAGAATAAATCCAAATGTTGATATTTTATTTCATACAGATTAAATTTTATATGTATGAATATTCTGTTAACCGATATCAAATATATTCCACTTGAACTTTCATAAAAAAAATCTGTATCATTTTTAAACTAATTTAATAAATAAACAAACAAATACAGAAGTTTTATATATATATATATATAGTTTTTATATATATTTTTATAAATCTTTGTAATAAATTCTTAACATATTATATTCTTTGACCAATAATAAAATAAAAATAAATAAGTATTGTTTATACTAAATTTATTTATAATTGGCTTATATATTTTTTTAATGAAATTTTACAATTAAGTTTCCTTGACAATTAGAAGATGTAAATGTTGATTTTATCGACATTTGAGTTCAGTTCGTTTTTTCCCGTGAAAAACAAACTATCGTCTTGTGTAAGTATAAAGATTTATTTAATTAGTTATTGATATGGCAAGTGAAAAAAATATTTTTGGTCAAACAAATGAAACAAACTTACATAAGGTCATACGCAGAGTTGAAAAAATATGGAACCGTCGTTTCATGCATTCTAATTGTGTTTTAAATAATCCAAATAAAGGACAAATATCAAAAAAGTTAACTAAAGGTGGAAAAAATATCTGTAAACACTATTAAGATTAATAATTAAACTAATTATTTCGAGTAGAGAAAAAGTTTTTTTATATAAAATATAAGAAAAATTAATAATAAGTTCTCTTATTGATATATAACAATAATTCAGTCACTTTACTTTAATTTAACTATTTTAATATTAAAAAACTTTTTCGAAATTGATTATTTAATTAATAATTATTAAAATGATATTCAATTTGCAGCAATTATTAACGAAAATATTTATCCTATAACAAATTCCATTATTCCAAAAAAACGCACGTATCGAAAAATGAACAAAAATGATAAAATTATTTCAGAAAAATTGGTAACTATAATTATATTAATATATATTAACAAATCGATTAAATAATAATTTTGTAAAATTGTAATGTATTCGATTTAGCTATGTAATTGGGGTTTGTCGGATTCAAAAATATAAAATAAGCTCTCAACCGCCTTAATATAATTGCAATAATATAATGTTTAATATTATTCAGGACTGCTATTTTTTCAATAAGATTTTTATGGGAAATTCAATTTTTATCGAAGATAATAATATAATATTAAATATAGTTTATTTGTTTATTTAAATATCTCTTTGGTTGCCTAGAAATTGATACAACGAGGAGAATTCGGAACACTTACTAAGAATGAAAAATCTAGAAAATATAAAAATAAAATTTTAAATTCAACAGAAAAAAAAAATATAGCAATTTCAAAAGACAATTCGCAATTAATACCAGCTGATTTGTTAGGAAAGGTATATTTTATTATACTTTTTTTCAATAAAAAGATTTTAGGGTATATCTTTAACCATTTGTTGGACTTAAAGCAGATTTTTTAAATAAATTTATCATATAATTAAATATATTTTTATGATCCGTTAAGAGTTTTTATAAGAAAAACTTGGAACGCAAAAAATCCGTAATAAAAAAGCAACTCTTTGAGATATCTTCTAATACTACTGCTCGACCAAATTTAAAAAGAAATTCATCCGAAGAAGATGAAAAAATCATAAAAAGTATTCAACTATTAAAATATAATTAATTTAAAAATATATATATAATAAACGTTTTGATTTTTGAAACAAATATGTAATATTTTAAAACATAAATTATTTTAGAGCCGAAAGTTAGTTCTAATCCTTTGACCTTAAATACGCCGAATGACGTAAATTTACTTGCTCTGTCCACTGTTGAAGTAATAAAAGTCCCAGAGAAAGAAAAAGGTAATAAATTATTTAATCTATTTATTTTATACAATATAAAATAAAATAAAAAAAGATTATTTATTAAACATAATTAATAATAATAATAATATGTGTTAAATTAATATAACCTTTGCAGAGGCGTGTAATTAAGGGGGTCCATGGACGTTTTTAACAAAAGTAATTTTATGTGTTTAATTTCATATTCCAAAACCTTAAATAAACCTAACTAATAGTAAACTGTTCAACAAAGTTTTTTTATTAATTTTATGAAAAATTTTTAAATATGGTTACACTTGCAGAAGTAATGCAAGATCAGAACACAAAATCTCTTGATCAGTATAATGCACCTTCATTTAAATCGCCCACATCATGGTATACTTCAGACACAATTAATGAGTACATTAAAATGATAGTAAAACGGTCAGAAGGTGAAGTTTATGCAGTTGTCACTGATTTTATTGTAGCGTATCTTCGAGGAGGTTATCCAGCTGTAAGAAGATGGATAAAAAAAGATATTCACACAATAAAATTACTTTTTGTGCCCATGAATGTATATGGGAGTCATTGGATATTGACAGTGGTTAATATACCTGAAAAGACTGTGACATCATATGATAGTCTTAAGTCTTATAAGGGTCCTTATCCAATGGTATTAAAAAATTTCTTAATTGAATGGGAGATGGACAAAAAAGGAAAAGCTTCTACATGGACATTACAAATAGGCGAGACATCTCGCCAAACCAATGGACATGATTGTGGGCCATTTACTGTTGAGCTGGCAGAAAAAATGTCTCGAGGAGATACAACACCAATAAATGCAAATTTTANTTTACTGTTGAGTTGGCAGAAAAAATGTCTCGAGGAGATACAACACCAATAAATGCAATTCTTATGCCTTTTATAAGATTAAGACACAAAAATGAAATTATTGCTGGACAGCTATTCTATTAATATTTTTATGAATGAAATTAAAATTTTTGTATTTCATATCAATTATCTTAATTTTACTATATATTGAAATTTTTATTTGTATACTACCAAACATTTTTTTACTTTTTCTATGTTTAATTGTTTTTTTATTTTATATTAATCTTATTTTTCTTTGTTACATTATTCTTTAAAGAAATTCAAATTTAATATAAATTTATCTTAACTGAAGTAATTTAATGTTCTTGTTATGTGAATATACAAATATTATAACATACAATTAAATTAAAAAGTCAGCTAATTATAAATTTTTAAGTTAACAAGTGTATCTACTATTTTAACAACTTAATTTTCATTTTACTAAATGACAATTCATAAAGAATTTCATAACTTTTGTTTATTTTTTAAAAACTATTTTAATTATAAAAAATTCTTTTATGTATTTTTTATGAATGTGGTATTTTGAATAGGGGTAACTCAACTTATTTGTTTATACTTCTCTAAACTGATAAACTGTAAAATAAATTTAAAAATGAACTACAAGTTCAGAATATTTCCGCTGTTATTATATTTTTGCTACAGGTATTTTTGTTATCTAAATGACCCAATGAAATCCAAATAATTTCTAGAAATCTCTGATAAAATGTAGATAAATATGTGTCGTCGAATCCTATCAAATTAACTTAATTTTTTTCGTTATTTATTTAAAATACCATTTATTTTATAGTAAAATAAATTTAGTATATTATAAAAAAAAGTTAATACCAATATATTAGGCTTTTTTTTTTAAGTCGCGGTGTGTCCAGACATGGAGGACATCCCCTCAAAATACGCCACTATTTTAAGTCACTAAGCTTTGAATTTTTTTTTAATTCTCACTTGACGATACATAACATTTTTCATATTTTCCATTTCTAAATTCAAAATAACAATTTATATTAAAAAATAAAATATTTATATAAATTAATTTATTAGTTAGCAAACAACACAATTACTTTTTTGAGTTTCAGATAAGATTTTGACACGGATAATCCTAATGTCTAAGAATCATTTATATAGAATAACACAAACACGTAAAATAATATTGAACAATTATTAATAACTGCACTGGTTGTTATTAATAAGGCGTTAAGAACGGTTCAGATTATTGATATAGGAACTATTATTGTTTCGTTCAGCTTACTCACTATATTTAACTACACCGTTCTTATTATGGGTCGGGTATTTTACAATGCTGCCACCAATGTTTCTTATCTGACTAAATTTAAGTAAAGGTAGAAAATGAAACGAGTTATTCAGTAGAATGCGCTTTGTGTTGGTAGGGCGGAGGGAGAGTAATATTAAATAGTATGTGATTATTATAGAAAAAATTTAATTAAATGATCTACCAAAAAATTACTTACCAGAGTTCGATTCTTAACAGGAGCTAATTTTGACACGGAAAGTCCCAATGTCTATTAATCAAAAGTAAAATAAAGTTCAACACTAATTTTGATGGGCCAGTTCGATGATATATTTAATTATTACAATAGAACAACAAGAAAAGAAAAGAAAAAAAACAATGCCGTAAAAATATAGATGTTCCGTTAGTTTATAAACTTCTTAACAAGTATATTAACAGTAACAAATCAAGTTAATTTTTAGAGATAATATGGCCAAAGACGAAAGACTAGAATATACGTCAGTAATAATAGTTTTTTTACCACCGGCTTATCACCATCTACGCTTCAGTAGATAGACTTTGCATCCTAAATAGATAGCGAGGGTACTATAATTAAACTAGGCTAGCGATTGTAATAAGGCGGCTGATGAAAGAGATGAGGTGACCGTGTATTAAACGTATTGCAAAATATACGGTACCATGTCATATATACAGCTCAATACACAGCGTGTTGTAGTCAAGTAATGAAAAATAAAATAAACAGTGTTTAAAGTAAAGCTGGAACGATAAAGGGGTGACACAATGGAATAAAATAATGAGACGGTCATTTGCGTTTCATTAATAAGACGGTTATTTTCCGAAAATAACTTGATAGCTTTAATTAAAATTAATAATATTTTAATTTAAATATATTACTACATGATATAATTATAGATACATACAAATTGAATAAAGATTAAGAAGTACAATAAATAAATCGTTGATATATTGATATCACAGCAAATACATTTTATATAATTTTTCTAATTCAGGATCTTTAAAAGTAGGAACAAAATTTATTTTGACTATTTCACTGATACCCTCTTCTTTGGATGGTGATTCATACTTGGAACTGCATAAAAAATTTTTTTGGACCATTTTACAATTAATTATTATAATAATTGTTGAAATACTAATATTAATATGGATAAAATAGATAAATAATTAATAATTTTTAATTCTTACGGTATATAGCCATAGACAATGTCTATGAATATCTACTTGGCATGCAATATTATACAATGGGAAGGCTAATTTAATATTCATTATATGACTAATGAAAGAAATTCAAACTAAAAATATTATATTGAATAGTTATCAATGAACCATTTCCCTGTTGATAGGGGATAAGAATACTTCCACGGCCCATCTACCAGTCATAAGAGGCGACTAATGAAGTTGTGTCAGGTCGACAGCCGACATAAAATTTTTGTCAAAAAGTACAAGGATTCCTAAACAAAACTTAGGCAGATTGTCCCATCTTAGATGTACTCGGGGACAACAAGTGAGAGGAAATAGAGTAGTTAAAAACGGAGAAGGCCTAAGGAAAAAAGTGTTTATACCAGCCGGACAACTTGTGCGATAGCTGTTTCACCAGTCATGTGTACAGGTCTACCCAATGCTTGTAGTTCCAACGGTGTAGGGACATCACCACTTAACACTAAGCTGGACTCGTGTATAAGGGAGAAGGATAGATACAAAGTAAGAATAGGTACTTGGAAAGTTGGAACATTAAGTGGTAGAATTAGAGAATTAGTAGAAGTATTGAAGAGGGGAAAAGTTAACATATGTTGTATGCAGGAAACTAAGTCGAAAGGAGACAAATCGAGGGAAATAGGTGAGGGTTATAAAATAATATACTCAGAAAAGTCTAGTACAAACAATGGTGTAGGAATAATAATGGATGAGAAAATTGTAAAGTTATACCAGGCGAGAATATAACTACACAGCATAGAATGATGGTAATAGAGTTGTGGTGTCCTGAGAAGAGAATATACAAAAACAGAAAGAACACGGGGAAAAAATCGAAGATGCGGTGGTGGAAATTGAAAGGGCAAAATGAAAAAGAGTTTATCAAGATGGTAAAAGAGAGGACAGTGTGGAATGTTGAGGGAGACATGAATGATGAGTGGAATTGATTTGTTAGTTGTGCAAAGGATACTGCGAAGGAGATTGTTGGTGAGAGTTAGAATGCCAGGAAACAAGGAAACCTGGTGGTAGGATGAGGTCATTCAAAAAATCATAGAAAGTAAGAAAAAGCAATTCTAAGTATGGCAGAAGAGCAAAAGGAAAGAAGATTGTATAAGGTGGTTGAGGGAACTTTATACTTATACTTAATTTTGGGCATTAATGAGAAAAGGAGTCTCGAAAAGGTACATTAATATAATAGAAGATATGCATGATGGCACTTGTACCAAGGTAAAAAGCGTAAGAGGAGTAACAGAAGGTTTTCGGGTAAGAGTAAGAGTGCAACAATGTTTTGCTTTAAACCCTTACTTATTTTCTATAGTAATGAATGAAATTATTAAAAATATACAAGGAAAGGTACCCTAGTGCATATTGTTTGCTGACGATACAGTATTAATAGGAGAAAATTAATCAAAGGCCAGAGATGTGGAGATTAGCTCTTGAAAAAAGGGTTTAAGAATAAGTAGGAGTAAGACAGAGTATATAGAGTACGAGTTTGATAAAGGAGAACACAAGGTAGGTGAAATAAGGAGATCAATGACAATGGCCCCCTGAGGGTCAAACACAGAACAATGTGCGCTATAAAACTATGTTTCTACCCACTAGCTCATCCCGAATTTTATATATTTCATCATACTTTTATTGTTTATTACATATACTAATGTAATAAGCCAATTGGCGTTCATTATTTCAAAAAATAAAAATAATTATATAATATGTTATTTTTAATTATTTATACATGTTTAAAAGCTATAGTTTTTGCCAAAGTGAAAACCTATTTTTCATAACACAACAGAATCATGGCTACAATTTATTTTATAAATCTTTAAGCCACCCCAAATTGCACTCTTTATACAAATTATTATAAATATGCATTTATTTATAGTATAAATATTAATATAAAATTAAATTTTTTATAAAAACATAAATGATAATGAATACAAAGTTTTTGAACATAAACCATTTGTAACTAATAAAAATACTTACAAATACATATTAATGATGACATCTGATATTTTTTGATGTTTTTCATCAGTTAACTCTCTGAACTATAAACCATAAAGATAACATTAAAATAAAAAAATCTTTTTGATCAACTGAACATTATAGCTTATTTTTAAAATTTTTAATATAAATATTAATTTATCAATTCAAAGTTTAGTTTAACAAAATGTTTTAAAGAATTAGACTAAAATTAATATTATGATTTATTAATAAAATTTAATTATTTGAAATTATCTGATTTAGTAACTTATAATTAAAATTGAACATAGAAAATATCCATCTGATTAGTAAAAATCTGTTTATTTAAGATAAATTTCACTAATATGAAAGTTGTACTAGAATTTTCAACTAGCAAAGTTACAAAAGGAAATTTCTACACAAAGGAATAGTAAAAACCTTCCTGTGGTTTCAATGCAGTTCTATAGATAGAAATAAATAAACCACTAAGAAAACATACTAAATCTATGAAGTAAATTATCAAATAATGCTAATATTTTTATTCAATAATTCAGTAACCAATGATACAATATTTTTCTTGGAATTTACTTCAGCAAAGGAAGAGTTCTAGTTTTTTCTTTATACACAATTAAATTTAAAAAAACGGTAGTACAGTGGGGTTGTGGCATCAGTTTAACATTAAAATGAAGTTGATATTATTAATATAAGTATTAAATATGTTAGCTTTATCAAACAAAATTTTACACAATAAGACATTTCTTACCTTGTTGTTATGTTTTGCATGTTCTTTGGTGGTACTCATCTCAAAAACTCGACAAGGAATATTTAAATTATTGGCAATATCAATAAAACGTTTTCTTGTTTCTTTATCTGGATTTGTATTATCAATAACAACACTTTTATTTTTACACTCTAAAATTTGTTTTGCTTCCAAAACACATTTTTGCCAACTTCCTAACGTATCTCTATTAATCACTTTTATAGATTCATGAGTAGCCAATATGTTTGAAACAAAATAACTTTTACCAGATCCTGGACAACCCACCATTAAAATAATCTAAAATAGAATTGAAAAATTATTACTTAAAAATATAAATATGGTAGCATAATCAGTTTTTGGTAGTTCATGAGTCTTTGGAAATTTTTATGTTTATGATATAATAATATCGAGAATCATTGAAAAATAAAGTTAACACATAGTCCTAAACAATAACTTTATAATCAACATCTTCAAAGGCAAAATAACTTAGAAGAAACCAAGAGAATGTTCACAGAAACAATATTTTTAACATATTCTAGATCTGTAAATTGTATTGATTCATAAATTTTTCAAAAAATTATAATAGTTTTAATTAAAAAAAAAAGTAGCACAGTGGGTTCTCAATACAGTGTAGACGTGGCATAGTTGGGACAAGTATAAATGATATCTGACAAAAAAAAAATATTAACATTTATGTTATCATAATTTTTTGGAAGACATTCATCATTTATGGGAAACGAAAGAAAATTTTTCAATTATTGAGGAAAATGACTTTAACTAGATAGGCTTTGTGATTTGTTGATGTATTGTTAAAAAAAATGGTACACTAAGAGCTAGACAAAAGTATTGACAAACACAAAAAAAAACATCTTGGTAAAATTCATATGTTATCAGCTTTGCATCAATGTTAAATATAGACTAAAGAATTTATCTAAATTATTTTTATTCATTATAATAAAAATTTTAATTACTTTATTTAATTAAAATGTAAAAAAGGTAGGTAATTTAATAATTTAAGCTATTTTAAAATTTATTGTTTTTTTAAATTTAAATTGTGCTTTTTTATTCAATTTTTAGATTGTTGGTTATGTAATTATATATGTATATAATATATACATATTTAAGTACAAACAATTATCCCTGTGGATAGGGGATAAGAATACCTTCATGGCCCTTCTTCCAGTCATAAGAAACGACTAATGAGGTTGCGTCAAGTTAACAGCCAGCATAAAAATTGTTGTCAAAAAGTATGAGGAGTCCTGAACAAAACCTAGGCGAATTGTCCCATCTCGGATGTACGCGTGGACAACAGGTTGGCTGACCCCAAGAAGTTGGGATTAAGGCAAAGAAAAAGAAGAAGATACATACAAAAAATATAAATTCTATATGTATTTTTTACATTTTATACAGATTGCACAAAATTTCAGATTAGTATATTCATTTTCAAAGAAATAAAAGTAATCTCTTCAATTGATTTATTTTGTTGAAAATCACTTTTTTTACATCCAGAATTGAGGAAATGCATATTTTTGGGTTATTTACATTCCTATGAAAAATTTATGTGGCCCCCATATTAATAGAATGGAATAAATAAAAAATTGTATAAATTAAAAAAAAATTCTTATGCTATTGTACTAAGTTAATAAGTAAAGTTTAAGAATTAAAAAAATATTTTTTATTTAATAGAAAAAAAAGTGTGTATAAGAGTTTATAAAAATATGTTTTTTTTACTCTAATTTTTTTTACTGATTGTAATTTATTAAAATATAACCATCTAAAATGAAAGTAATTTTTAATAAATATCTTCAATTTTTGTTTGGTTTCTAAGTAATAAAAAATTTGGTATTTACTTCTTTTGAATTACTAGACATATTATATTGATTATCATCATATTTTACACTAGCCATTATACTAGTTGGGTTAAATATGGGCATGTTGAAGTCTTCTGTTGGCTTTTTCCAAAAATATTCCTCTGGTGTATAAAATTTTAGACCAATATTCATGGCAAATAAACGATCACAACAAGAATGATCTTTTTTAATATTTTTTTTATTAATTATTCGATTTGGACGGCCTGCAGCATCACCACAGTAAAAACTATTTACCATGTCTATTGAAATATCTCCATTAAACTAAAAAGTTATTTGAAGTTTATTAATACTAGATTATATATTACTTAAAAATAATAATTTTACTTCAGAAACAAAAATATTCCACATTCCTGGAGCTGGTTTTCTATATATATCACTGTGTGTTGACACAAATACTTGTACTGGTGTCTTTAATACATTTGTAATATTTTCAATTTTAGTTTTAAAGGTTTTTTCATCAACTTTTAATTTGCCTATTCCTCCTTGATTAGTAAATATTACAATTTTAAAACCATCTTCAGCTAATTTTCTAATAGTTTTAGTAACTTCTGGAAAATTAATTTTCCAATCTTTGAAATCAACAGGATAAACTTTACCAGATTGTGTAGCAATAATTGTTCCATCCATATCAAATGCTGCAATCTAAAAAATAAAAACTAAAGACTATTACAAAATTATAGTTATAAACATTTAACACACAATGTCATAAGACATTAGTCAAGTTACAATCTCTAACAAAAGATTATATAAACAATAATAACAACTTGAAAGTTGTTTATTATTGATGCAACAGTTAAGATTTTGTTAAGTGAATTAAAAAAAAAAAAATGTATTTTTTCTAGAAAAATTAATTAAATAAATGAACATTAATTTCAATTTTATTATAAAAAAAATAACTTAATATGAACAATGTAAATTAAAATGTGGGATAATTTACTTTTGATTTTTGAATCAATTCTTCACTAGTGTAAATTAATAATGCGCCATTTCTGGTATCCCATTTCTGCGATTCAGTTGATTTTTTCTTTTTGAAAGTTTCATTATTATAATATTCAGTTACTCTTTTCTTAGGATTGCTAACACCATAATCAGGAGGTAGGATAAATTTTAAATAGTAAGAGTAATCACTGCCATGTAATAGTGATACTTTATCGCCATGATTTATAAGTCTTTTTTCTCCTTTCATCATAGATTCCCCATTAACAGCAGATTTATTATTACCTATTTGTTCAACAATTACATGTCGAGTTGAATAGTCAGCCTCAAATTTTACTAAATAGATAAAAAATAAAAATCAAAAACGATTATATATATATATTCATTTACTAAAATATTCAATGAAATTATAAATAATAAAATTGATATATTATAATTTGAATTACTTTTTCATAGATTTTATACTTAACAAACCTTGATTTTTAGACAATCTTCGATCAATTATTCCAGTTTGTGGGGTTCTACCTAATATTATTGGTTCCTTATCAAGTAATACGATTTTTTGCTGTGAATCTAATTCTGATACTAAAACGCAAATATTTATATTGTTATTAATATTATATTGAGTTTTGGACATGATAAAGTAAAATTCAATAAGGTATTCAATCGATTATTAAATCTATTAATAATCAACACAAGATCACTGTTAACTATTATTCCTATTAATCACACTAGATCGTTTGGTTTTTCATCTGATCGTCATTCATTTTATTATGAACATTCATAATAAAAAAAAAGAATACACACGTCTGTAAGTCATATTATATTATCATATTTATTTACAATAAATTATAGGCGAATTAAAATGTGATAACAGATAGTAAGAAAACTAGATCAATATCTATTGATATTCTGTATAACATTCAACCGGGAGAGCACCTTTGCCACGAACTGATGATGCTCCGACATTTACATACTTCGACATTTGACAAAGTAGTAATTGTTACGAACATCTGGTACTCCGACCATCTGATTCATAGGTTACCAAAATTATGACGGATTTTACTCCGACATTAAATTTAAAAAATGAGATAGTAAAAACTCCGACATTATCGATAGTTTGATTATGCATCGAAAGTTATATTATATTTCGATTGCATTGTTAGTAATAGGGCGCATTGATCGTATATGTTGCAACGTCAGGGTCACGTGGCTACAGAAACACTACATTATTAAATTAATTATATTATTATTAATAATATTGTAAAATTTAAATTAAAATGTTCTATTCAATTAGCATTTATTTGCTACTATAGTTATTATACAATAATATACATTTTGCTTATTATTTTCTGGTACAATTTCTCACATTTGACATATGTTATTAATACTCGAATGATAATAGTCATTCATTAAGTAACATAAAATTAATAGTGTTTAATACAAATGTACATTTTTGAAAAAGTTTTCTCTATTGTTAGAATATATATTTATCTTTGAGAATTTTATTTTTTAATTATCCAATAATTACAAAATATTTTCATCAAATCAAAAAACTGTTAGTTAACTGTTTTTTCAGTCGATCCACAAAATTTTATCTAACAGTAACTTATTTTTTAACATCTAAGAGATCCATTTGAAAACTAATTTTTCTATAACAAATATGTGCTGTAAAAATTGTCTTGTGCAATTTTATTAGTGATTAATTCCTAAGTGTGTAATATTAAAAAATAATAACTAATATAACACATAAAATTGTTTGTACAATATAAAATCATTCTTGGGGATGTCTGGATTTTTTCCTGTGCTGCATTAGGATATCTAAGTATAAAATAACACAGTATATCCAACTTCAATATAATATTGAACCCCAATCAACCGATAGTTAATATTGTTCTTTAATAATCTTGTTTACATATAATATAATATAATATAATGAATATTATATGTATATGAAAAATTTATATTTTAATAATTTATTAATTGCCTACATAAGCTTCCATGGAGTTTTGTTAAAAACTTATTACATTTTTTAAAATGTTCGTTCTTTATAAACACTTGATATCGTAGTTTTAACTAGATAATAATATTATTTAGTAGTTGATCCAAAAGTATTGCTAAAAAATGTTAGTAGTATATTCGATACTTTCAATAAAGTAACGTAGTAACTTGTCTATGATTACTAGTTCGTGGTTACTAGTACAAAATATCGAAATATATTATAACTCAAAATTAGAGTCAATTCAACAATATTCTTGTTGTTTTGTAGCTAATGGTAAATTTTATTTTAAATAAAATACGTAGTCATGTTTTAAGCTATTTCAACATATTTATATTTTAAATGTATAGTTTTTCTAATAAATAATTTTATTCATTTTAATTTTTAATTTATTTGTTAATTTAGTTCCATATTTATTAATCTGTGTTCTTTGTAAAAAGTTGTAAATTTACAGATATTGCTCTTAAGAAAGCGACTAAATATTTATAGGAACTCTCTTGTTTTTTACATCTCGGCAATATAATATATAAATATATAAGCAGCAAAAATTCTTCTTGAAAATATTTATAATTAACATAATTATTATGTTTTTGATAAAGGGATTGATTAAATAAGGGTACTTAACTCCCCTCCTATATGACTAAATAACTATTTGACCTAAAGTATGAGCATTAATAATTGAAAAAAAAGCATTTAAGTAGCAAAATAAACATGACAATCTAAGATTTTTTTTACACAAAAATAACATTTTATAACATTGGCGGTTACTGTGCATAGAAAAAAAATATACCAAATGATAAGTAAAGACATCAAGCATCTATAAATAAAATTATATTGATTTGTTCATTTTTGAAAAAGTTATGGCAGTTTTAAGTAAAAAAAATTGAAAAAATTTCGAATTAGCGATTTTAAAATTTGTAATTATTTTGGAGGTTTCCATCATTTAGGGGGAACGAGGTAAATTTTTTCAATATTTGAGGGTAATATATTCGACTAGATACTAGATTTGTGATCTTTTCAATGTTTTCTTCCAAACGTATCGTTGAAAGAAATCGGTTTGGTGAAAAGTGGTTAAAAGTTAAAATAAAAAATTTCGAATTTTATCGATTTTAAAATTGGTAAGTTGTTAAGAAATTTCCCCTATTTATTAAGAATCAGGAAATTTTTTATTTCTTCTTTATTTATTTTAAGTAAAACCATCGAATAGTTATATATAAAATAAAATAAAAAATCAAATATCAGTCATTTTAAAAAAAGGTTTAACAATTTTTTCAATGTTCTTATAACATTAAACAAAATGAAATTTAAAAAAACGTTTTAAATACCAAAAACTTAATATATATTAGCAAGAAAAGGTTTTAATAAAAATATAACATATAAATGATAAGGAAATTTTCATTTCAAGCAGTAAAGGAAGAAGGTTGATGTAGTGATTTCCGATCTTAATTCTAATTTTTTGCATATAGCTAGATCCAGATTTATATGCATTTACAAATTTCGTTTGAACCATTTTAAAAGAAACCAAATTTTTGCAAATTTGTTGAAATATACAGTAGCGTAAAAATATTTTAGCTTCGATGCGAAGCTGAGAAGGTATTGGTTTTACTATGATGTGTTTTTTTTATTTTTTGTGTTTGTTACCACATTTTCTCAGCTCTTACCGAACCGATTTCTTTCAACGATACGTCGAAAGATCACAAATCTAGTATCTAGTCGAAACATTGCCCTTAAAATTGAAAAAATTTCCCTCGTTCTCCGTAAATGGGAGAAACCTCCAAATAAATTACAATTTTAAAAATCGCTAATTTTCTACAATTTTTTTTACTTAAATTGCCATAACTTTTTGAAAAATGTATATATACAAATACAATTTTTTTTATGAATGCATGAAGTATTTACTTATCATTTTGTTTATAAATCTGACGCAATAAATCTTTACCTGCCTACAGGAGAAATTCAAAATAACTTTTTCAACTTTACTTTTGAAAATGTTCCGGAAATACTGACACTTTTATATATATCTTAAATTAAAGCTAATATACTTTTTTATGGAAAAAAAAAAATTTCGGACTTTATTTTATCTTCATGGTGAAAGCAGACATCAAAGTTAATAAAAAGAATACGATTTTTGTAAAAAAATTCTTTTTTATATTTTTAATTTTAAAATGCTATAACTTATTGAAAAGTGTATGGATCATCACAATTTTTTTTATGAGAAATAATATTTTTTAATAATCCCTTTTTTCATTCGGCATATTTTATCTTAATGAGGATATTAATAAGGAACTAGCAGATCATGTAGCTTTTGGAATAATCCACCATTTTTTTAAAATTAAACACTGTATGGTACAGAACACCTTTAGAAGGATCTCAACTAGATCAGTTGTTACAAAGATCATTGATTATATTATTTCGTGGGACAGCTGATCACCAGCATCTTACTTTACTCACCCCCTTGCCCACCCATCACGACAAATCGATGACCTCCGTGTCGATTGTCATCCGTGTACAGTTCATTGTCATAAGTCAGTGAGTCGTATTGTTTTACATGTCACTTTTTTCTGTTGCAAACGCCTTCGCTTGAATAGTAAATTATTCGGCCATTGTACGGCATAGTTTTTTATTTCTTGTTTATTGCACCCTTGTGCTCAAAGTTTACGTGCCCTTGCACGCCACTAGTGATTGGGCCCTGACCATCACTAAATATCTTCATTGATGTAGTCGCCTCTTCGCGGTCTGTTCTCATCTGCCATTACGTACCTGGATTTACACTCTGACTCTTCATACTCAAATGTTCGACACCATTACCATAAGATCTCATACAGTCCACTCATCATCATCAACAGCGTCATCTATACAGCTGAGTTTTATATTATTTTTAATGTTAATTATTGTTTGTTCTAATTGAGATTAACTATATGTTTTATGTCGCTTCGCTTCGCACTAGTATTTAAGGGCCCCCCGTTACCCCTTAAATTTAAGATATTCTATGAGGAATTTCTAATATATGTGATTATTTGTTATTTAATTATTGTCTACTCTCAATTACTTATTGGATGTATAGTTAGCCGTCATCTCCTAGGTGACCCACTCCCACATCAACATTAACGTTTTATTAAACAGGCTTAAGTTCAAACGGCATTCTAGTGCGGTGCACAAATAGCCGTCCTACGGTCTAGCTGCCTCGTACGCAACAAAAACTATCTAAAGATTTGCATCGAAGCGTTTTTTTTTTATAGTGATTTTAATTACTGTCAGATATCATTATACTTGATCCAACTATGTTACGTCACCACTGTGCCGCGACCCCCCTGTGCTGGATTTTTTTAGTCTACTAATATATGTTCCATTTTTTTATATTGAAGGGATACACCCACTTTATTCTTCTCAACACTATAACTCCAGTTAGATCATATTAATAAGTTTTTAAAGCAATTAATATAAATTTTTCCAGGGTGATGATATGTCCGGAATCACTTAACAAAATTTATTTTATAAATTTATGAAATTTAAATGTCTGTGTGTCATCAATAAATACAATATTGTATTCCATTTTTTATATTTATTAAAAAAAACTTTTGATTTAAACTATATACATTTTACAATATAAAATAACAATTTATAAAAAAAAATTACACATATAAATGTATTGTAATAATTTATGTACTTATCTATTTTTAATTATAATTAATAATAAAAATATAAGGAAATGAACAAAAATAAATATTTTAAATAAAATGTATGGCTGTTGGCTGGACCAGCATTAGAAATAGCGGGACATTATACGAAATAATTTTATGCTGCTATTTTCCATTACAAAAAAAAATTATTTTTATTTTTCTTTTACACATCTACTTAGTTTATGAAGCCCTTTAAAGTGCAGAGGTACATATCACACACTCCAAGTGCCGACTCTGATTGTTAGTCAAAATTGTAAATGATACTTCGTGACATTTTTAAATTGGACATAATATTTTCATAGTAATAACACACAAGTAAAAAATGCACATTCTTCATGTATAGTGATTTAATTAGGAAGTATAAGAATTTACGTGAGAGAATTTGTTGACATCGAAGTAGTCGTTTTCAAAATTTAAAGTCATCCTATTATTTTGTGAATTAATAAAGTATAAAAAGATTTGTGTAAAAAATAATATAGATAAAACTTATGATACGAAATAATAGAATATAAAAAATGTTACACATCGCCGTTAAAGCATTTAAAAATTTCATCATATTGTTATGTTTTTTACATAGGAATATATTCAATAATATTTAATATTTTATGGTAAATTATATTCGATAATTAAGTTCTATAATATTAGACTAATCGTTGTATTTTGCAAAGTTTGAGCAATACTATGTAGATAAGTCTTTCTGGTTACTATCAGATGTGCTTCATCTCATAATTCTGTAGTTTCTAAATTTTTCACTGTTATTCTTGTACGTTCACAATAATCATTTGTTGAATCAGTATGAATTGCACAATCATTGCTGCATGAAACATTATATAAATTACAAGTGTCAATTATAATTATACTAAAACTTGAAAATTTTAATAAATAACTTGGTTTTATGAAACAATTGCATATACAAATAATCTACTTTAATTTTATAAAATGAAAAAAAATTATAGTCATTCAAGTTCTAAGCAAATCATTTTCAGTTACCTTTTAATAAATAATGTTGTTGTTGAACGTTCAATTGGTTGTGGAGATGTAGTACTGGTTGTAGTATTATCATCTAATGAATCACGTTCTGAAGTTTGACTGGAAAAATAAGGAATAAATAACTAAAATATGATTAGCACATTTAAAAAGAATCTTATATTAGATTTACATTTCTAAATTCATTTCAAAACCAAAAATTGCGTATTTTGGATTTTATGAAAGAAAGAAAAAAATACATAATTTATTATATAGAAAAAAATAAAAAGATTTTTTAATACTTTATTATCTCAAAAAAAAAAAAAAAAAAAAA